AGTTAGAAATTCTTCGAAATATACTTAAAAAAGTTAGAAATTTCTTCAAAATAATCTCAAAAAAGTTAGAAAATCCTTGAAATGATCTCAAAAAAAGTTAGAAATTCTTCAAAAAAGTTAGAATAACTTTTTTAAAAATAAAAAGATAAATTTAGAACAAGGGAGATATATGACTTTATCCGTTTATCGTGAAAGAATATTTAGTTAGATAATAGATAAGAAATTAAAATAATGAATTATAATGAATAATAATGATAATAATAAATCAAGATAATGTCAAAAGTAATTCAATGTAATGCAAAACAGTAATAGCGATTGAAAATAATGAAGAAATTTTATAAATTCATCAAAAGATCAAATGAAATATGATGATCAGTTCTAGAACGAAATTAATTAAGTTAATTTAGGAAATTGATTTAAGTAAAAGAAAAAATATTAGGGGATAAGATGAACACTGCAGGTTAAAAATATGTTTGATGACTCAGGAAAATCCCGCGCTTATTTACATCTTCTTTTAACGGAGAAATTTCTCCTATTACATCTTATATAGTAGGAAGTCTCGGCAAACACTGCATTTATGCTTTGATTTTACAAGAATTTTTTAAGGTTCAGTCAGTTATGGACTCCAATATCCTTAAATAGTAATTTATAATGAGTGAACCGTCAAAAAATCGTTTATTTTTAATCTTTTTTTTTTTTTCCAAATCTTTTTTAAAAATAAGTTTTTTAATAAATTTAGTTTTATTAAAAAGTAAAAAGTAAAATAAAATTTATTAAAAGTAAAAAGGAACAAAGGATAATAAAAACAAACATATAATACATATAACATATAATTACTTTTTCCTTTTAAAATTCGAAATTCTAAAAATCTTCTTATTAAATTATTAGGGAAAGGTTCTTTTATAATTTTACATGTGATTTTTTTTGATAAACAAAAAAAGTTTTGAACGGGACAACGGGACTGTCATTTTATTGATTGCCACATTATTTTTTTTTTTTCGCCACAATTCTTTTTATATTCCCAAATTTAAATTCTTTCGTTCATTTTAGGTATATACAAAAGAAAAAAAAAAAATTATTAATACAAATTTAGTAATTTCTTTATTTTAAGTTACGCTTACGGAATTTGTAACATGGATCAAAAAAATTTTCTATTGTTCAAAAATCCTATAATCGATATGTTTCGGAATGTTACACTTTTATAACTCGGCCCAAACAATGGCTAAAGATTCCTAAATTATCAATCAGAATGACGGCAAATAGCAATAAACAGCAAAATTCTCATTTTCTCATTTTGAAATGGAAATTAGTTTCAAACATAAAAATAAACTCCGTTCCCACTCCGTTCCCATAAGAAAGTTCTTTGTTCGAAAAAAAGTCTATTATAATATATACCATATTAAGTTAATTGACGTTTAGTTACACTAAGAAAATAAACTTTTTTGATTGCGTAAATCAATGTCGGTCATGTCGGTTTCTTTGGTCAGGAACTAAGATCCGTAACAACGAAAAAATCATATTACACGAACATGAAACAAAAAAAATTCAGAATATTCTTCAATGAAAAAAAAGTATTAAAATAGAGAATAGGAAAAGAGCTTTACTAATCTCAAATGTAGTTAGAACCATGTGTCACATAATGATTTTCATATTTGTTTGTAAATACATTGCAGTTAATAAAAATATACCGAGTTGAAAAGTCCAGAGTTAAACAATGAATTAAATTAGGAATTTTGGCTGTTTTACTAGTTTCACTAGGTTTAATTTAAATCATGTGATTTACTTAATTTCATTCGTTTTTCCAAAGACTGGGTCGGATGTCAAAAAAAAACTTGGGTTTTACCCGCTTTTCAAATAAAATGATTATTTCCCCAATTTACGAAAATGATAGAAAAAATTTTTCAAATTTCAAGTAATAGAATAAAATACTTCTTTAAGAAATTTCTTTATATTTTTGGATCTGTTTACTAAAATAGTAAATCAATTTAAAATCGAAAAATCGAAAAGGTCATGATAATTAATGCAGTGATATTTAAGGGTTGGTATCATAAGGTGTATTTGATGTACAGAGTACACAATAATATCTTACAAATCTTTTTACAATCTTACAAATTTTATAATAGTAAATTTTTGTGTAATAATAATAATGTATATCAAATATTATTAATTACCACAACGGATTACAGCGAAAAAAGTTACAAAAAATATAAATTTTAACGCATTAATAAAATATTAAGAAGAAAAAATATATGTTAAATTAGAAAATGTTACCTTTTTTAATGAAAATATATATATATAAACATGAATTTGTTTATTTATTATTATTTTATTATTATTATCATTTTTTTAAAAAAATATATATATATTATTTTTTTGATCGGTTGAACAATTCGGTAAGTAAAAAACTCGTAACAATAACATTAACAAAAATATCAATAACAATAAACAAAGACGGAAATATCTAAGAATTGACATTGTAATATACATGTATATATATATTATATATAATAAACGTTTATTGAATTAAATATTTTTGATATTCTTGACCATTTCTTCTTCCCGTCAACTTATTTAATCAAATGTCAAACATAAAAACGAATGTAACGCGGATATCTAAGTTAATTCATCAAAGATTCCAATTTTATTATTGTACTTATGCAATTTACTGTGGTTTTTAAGTCGTACTTCAGTACTCCACATTACTCCGATTACTTTTCGTCACACAGAAAACATTGTTTTAGATAATCAAATTCTCATTTTTTCATGGCGTCATATGCTTACGAACTATTAATAGATAATGATGCGTCATTTTACCATTTTTAAATTATATAATGATGAATTCTGGATCCCAAAGTTTTTTACATACAGAAATATTCATCCTAATCATATGAAACATGACTGTTTACGCGATACATGATAAGTAAATAACTTAACTTAAATTACTTAAAATAATGGCATATCACACTAAGTGACACTCGGCCTTTTGCGCTATTGTAAATGACAAACGAGGAATGAGTTTCAAATTAAAGAGACGCCATTAAAACAATATTCTTTATTCTTGAATATTTTTGATAAGCTGGCTAAGGAGAAGGGAGTGACATTGGAGCAACGTATGTCAATGGTAAAAAGTTGAATAAACCAGGTAATAATAATCAACAGTCATGTGATATGATTTAAAAATAGATTTACAATTACGGGTTTTTGGTCGGGTAAGGATTAAAATGAGTAAATTATAATGAACTTAAAGATGGTACAAAAAAAGAAATACATATAAAAAAATTCTCTTGGGCCGATAGGCGTTTTTTTTTTTTTTTGTGTTATTATCACATGCTACATAAAATTTTTTTATTTCTACTTTATTAACACGACGATAAAATAATCCAAAAGATAAATATTAGAAAGGAAATGTTGTATAAACCCGTTGTTAGTTACACCATTTAAATCATTGCATCAATTTAATACAAAATTAAGTAACATTTTTAGTTATACCTTAACAAATAAGTCTTAATACATCTTTAAACGGATGGATATTTAGAAGGTTAAAGGAGGAAAGTTGGTAAATACGCCAATAAATGGGACAACTTACTTCGGAGAAGAATGTTTACAATTGTTGAGAGTGTTATAAATTACTATATATATATATATGTATATATGTATATATGTATATATATATGTGATATGTAATCATACAATTTTGTTAATTATGCGTAAACAACAAATAATAGTACCGCGTTTGACGTTAATAAGATTCTTCTGCATTATAACAACTTCACTTGTATCATTGTACGAAGTTTGTGCGTTTATAATTACACAGATTTGTAATGTAAATTTTTTCGTCACAAATTTACTTGAGCAACTCCGCAAATTTTCAATTTTGGTAATTTAACGAAATCTTTCGCAGCGATTAATAAATGATTTTAACGTATAAGAAAAATCTTTGAACATCTATTTTTTACTTAAATGATCTTTTTTACTTAAAAATTTTGTTTTTTGAAAATTTTCACACATTAGGAAAAAAACCTGATATGAAACGCGATAAAATGTGGCTAATACATTTTTCAATATTCGATTCGATCCGCATCATTTCCAAATAACGTTAATATAAACTTGAAATTATAAAAATCATTAATATTTTAATTATTTTAATTATTTTTTTTACAAATTTTTCGATTCGATTAAACTTACTGCAATCATTTTAATCATTTTCAAAATATTACCTAATGAATCCATGATTGTTATCTTTCTTACTAATATGAAGTAAATATTACAAGTACTTTTTTTAATCGAAGAATTCCATAATCAGAAATATTTTATTATCCAAAATCATGTTTATTAATTTGAAACTTTTGCATGGCGCTTTTTGCATGATAAAGAATGATTATTGTTTCTCTCTTTTTTTAAATTTCATTTAAATAAATTATTTGGGTTTAATGGCTTTTTTTTTTTTTTTTTTTTTTGTGAACAAAAAAATACGAAGTTTTTTTTTTTTGTGATGGCAAAATGGACAAAAAAATACGAGGTTTTTTTTTGTGGTGNTTTTTTTTTTTTTTTTGTTCTTTCTTTTTTTGATCTTCGGCCATTCTTACCTCCACAATAAAATAAAGCATTCAAAATGTCATGTAACAATAATTATACTATAAAAAGAAAATCCTACAATAATAAAATTATATTGAGTAACATATATTTTAAAAAAACTTTTTTTTTTTAATTGAAAAATTTATCTTAATTTACACGTTTATTATTATTGTTGTAAATAAAATATAAACAAAAAAATTACATTTGATTGATTCTTTTTCTTTTTTAATATTATATTACTTAAATAAACATATATTAAGATATAATATATATTTATATTTATATATGATTATGTATACTATAATATTGTACAGGATTAAAAAAACTTGTTTTTTATTTTATTTTTTATAAAAAAAAAAAAATTTGTTTTATTATAAATAGTCCCTCAATTTTTCTGCAAGAGACGGAAAGAAAAAAAATCAAATTTTCTTTGAATCATTATAATAATATATATCGATATCATATATTTTTACGAATAATATTATTGACTTGTTAACGATAACGTACAATTAAAAACTAAATTCAAAAAAAATAAAAAAATGCTTTCAAGTTTAAATGTAGACCAAAGACATAAATATGTCGCTGGAGCCTTTGGCGAGTTTGTTGGAACCGCTTACTTTTTATTCATGGGTACGTATTAATATCAACGATCTTCTTTTGATCCTTTCCTTTTAAAATCCAAATGTTAAAAATTTTGTTTCATAATTTCATAAACAGGTGTCGGCGGTGCTGTAAATTTTTTAAATAATGCAGCTGGTTCACCATTGTGAGTATTTTTTTTTCATACATTTTTTTTCTTTCTTTTTTCTTATTTATTTAGCACCATTATAATTTTTTTTCCTCATTATGTAGACCGGGTTTTGCTATTCCATTCTGTTTCGGTTTCTCACTTTTTGTTAATGTGTTCATTTGGGCTCCAATCTCTGGAGGAGGTAAATGAAAATTCCTCATCCAACATGATTATTTTTCAAATATTGTGCATTTATAGATAGCTTATTTTACTCATTCTTTTTTTTAGTGTTCAATCCATCCATTACTATCGCTTTAATGGCTACGAACCCGAAAGATTTTCCATGGCATAGAGGAATTTTGTACATAGTATCTCAATTCTTAGGAGCTTTATTTGGATCATGGCTCATTGACTTGATTCAACCTGAAGCCCCTAATGCAGCAACCTTACTTGCAGATGGAGTTTCAGTAGCTCAAGGTCTCTTTATGGAAATGTTTGCAACTTCAGTGTTAACCATGGCTGTGCTTATTTTAGCTGGTGAACGTTATGGTAAATATCTTGCTCCATTTGGTATTGGAATGTCCTTATTTATTTCAGCTTTGTGCGCTGGTCCATATACGGGAGCTTCTTTAAATCCCGCCAGAACTCTTGGTCCCGCTATTGTTGCAAACCAATACGGTCGTGCTCATTGGATTTATTATGTTGGTCCTACTTTAGGTAGTTTATTAGCAGCAGGTTATTGGCATATATTAAATATATTAAATATTAATGTTGTTAATCGTAAATTTAACAAATGCGAAAATTGCAATAATGAGAACCCTAAAGAAATAAAAGCATGCGAAAGATGCGGAAAGGGGGAACCTAAAGCTGATAAGCATGACATAGAATCCCAAAACTAAATATATACATAACAAATATATATATATACATTTTGTAATATTTTTAATTACCCTTCGTTTTTTTTTATGTTCAATATAATTCATTACATTTTATTCTTTTCACGCAAAACTTACAAAGCTTTTTTTCACACACTAATGAAGAATCCAAAACATCAAAAAAAAAAAAAATTGCAAATAGATCGAATAATAAAATTCCACCAATTAAAGGGTTGTAAAACTTTTTTTTTTTTTGTTT